AGTTGGTTTAGCGGCTTAGCAATCCTGGAGAAGTCCTTAATGAACCGCCTATAGTACCCAACAAAACCCAGAAACGACCTCACTTGCCGTACAGTCCTCGGAGGAGCCCAGTCTTGGACAGCCGACACCTTGTCTGGGTCTACCGCGACTCCTGCCGCCCCAACACAATGGCCCAGAAATTTAACCTCTTTCCGGAGGAGTTGGCATTTACCGGGCTGGAGCTTCAGCCCATATCGCTCCATGGCCTGAAACACTTGCTCGAGATGTAACAAATGGGACGCAAAGTCCGGCGAGTAGACTATTACATCGTCCAAGTATACCAAGGTGGTGTCCACCAGCTGCCCACCCAGACACCGCTGCATGAGCCGTTGGAAGGTGGCGGGGGCATTGCAAAGGCCGAAGGGCATCCGGTCCCATTCAAATAGGCCAAAAGGCGTAGTGAAGGCGGTCTTCTCCCGGTCCCTCTCCTCCACCTGTACCTGCCAGTATCCGCTAGCGAGATCGAGGGTAGAGTACCAAGCGGCATGTGTCAGGCTGGTGAGGGAGTCTTCGATCCTAGGCAAGCGAAACGCATCTTTCTTGGTGACCTGATTCAACCTCCGATAGTCCACGCAAAACCTCCAAGCGCCGGTCTTTTTGCGCACCAGGACGATCGGGGCCGCCCAGGGGCTACTGCTCTCCCGAATGATCCCTTGCTCTAACATTCCTTTCAGCAAGGTGCGTATTTCGGAATACAGGGTCGGAGGGACCGGCCGGTACCGCTCCCGACTGGGTGCTGCATCTCCCGTGGGGATGGAATGTTTCACCACATTTGTACAGCCATGGTCCTCCTCATGAGAGGAGAATACGTGTTGCCATTTGGCCAACATACTCTGAAGCTGACAGACTTGACTCTCCTCCAGGCCTTCTCCTTGCAAAGACTCTTCCTGTAGATGGACCGGCAGGTCTCCACTGGAGCCGTTGGCCCGGGATGGTTCGTGCGTCAGAGCCACCTCCACCACTGTCGAGCTCACCTGGCAGAAGCTGACCTCTCGGCCCTCTCTCACTTGCTGGGGTCCCACCGGGGTCACCCGGGCTAGACGTTGATGCCGGTAGAGATGGACGGGGTAGGGGTTCCTGTTCCGCACTCGCACCGCCACTCGTCCACGACGGGCCACAGCCAATCCTCGTGCCACTTCCACTCGCTGACAATCCCAATGGGGCTCAACAAGGACCCAATCGTCTGGACCATAAGCCCGAGCAGGCAACCGAGCCCAGAGAACGGCCTCACTCTGGGCCGGGACAGAAAGGGCATAGCGACAGGCCACCCGGCCGGTATCTTCCCGATCTTGTTGGGAACTGGCTATCTGTATCCGTCGACAATCAGCCACAATGCGTCTCCACTCCCTCCTCTCGGCAATCGGGGCAGTTCGAACAGGCCCCATCCGAAACAATTCTTCCCAACAATCCGTAATCACGTTCATTCCTAGCAAAGCCCGGTGTGCCCCTAAACAAGAGTCCCGAACGATAACGACTCCCTTCTGCAGAATGGTTGTCCCGTGGATCTCGAAGTCTGTAACTCTGTATCCGATGTATGGGATCTCTAATCCATTCGCCCCTCGTAGAACGAGCCACGGGGCTTCTGTCTCAGGTAAGCACCGAACCCCAAACAGTTCCTTGGCCAAACTCTCCGAGAACAAAGTCACCTGGGACCCCGTGTCCACTAGGCACCACACCACGGTGTCGTTCACTCGGATCTCGACCAGCGGACACTGCCCGATCAAGCTGTCTCTTGGGGCTGGGGCTAGGGGAGGGTTAATAAAGGGGGTCCCGACCACTTGACCCACAGTGGCCGGTCGTTCTAAAAACCCCCTTGCGAATTTCGCCGCGCACTGCACTGACGGATGTAATAACCAGGTTCTCCACATCCATTGCAGACCGGGCGTCCCTGTTCATCCCACTGGTACTTAGGGCCGCTGGTCCGACCTGGGCGCCTGCCTGGGTCTCGTCTTCCATCTGACCATGAACGTTCTCGAGCCAGAGTTGAGGAGTCAGGCCGCCCATGACGGAGTTCCTCCAGGAGAGTCTTAGACAGTTCAGCCATTTGTTCACGGACATCCTTCTTGAGCTCTGCCCGTAGATCTTGTTTCCAGTCAGACGGCCCCGGGGGCACCGGAGCACCAACCTCCCTGGCAGCCATACACACGGGCGAATCCACCGTCTCTGCATAATCTTGTTCCAACGCCAGAGCTTCCCGGCGGAGGTCTTCGAAGGTTAAGGTCGCATCCCTGCGAAGCTGTAAGCGCAGGCTCTGCCGCAAAGGCCCTTCTCGTAGGCCCAGGAGGAACTGGTCTCGCAATAGCGTCTCTTCTGCCCCCAGCCCATGCTCTCTGCGCCCCTTCAGCCGGGCATGCTGCTCCCGTAAGCGGAGGGCGAAGGCCCGCAGAGTTTGTCTAGGCCCTTGTTTATAATTAAAGAATTGAGCTCGAAGCACAGCCACAGGGGTGGCATCGCCGTACTGTCCTGCCAGAAACTCGAAGATGGCTTGTGCACTGGCTCGAGTGGCCGCAGATGCGGCTTGGACCTCTCGCTTCGCTTCCCCTTCCAGGGAGTTCAAGACGAACTGAACCTTCTGGGGATCGCTCAACCCTTGCAATCCCGCCAGATACTCCACTTGGGCTCTCCATTCAGTCAGATTCAATTCCGATCCGGGTCCACCATACTTCTGGGCCCACGGGGCTCCCATAAACACAGGGGTGACCGGAGGCCGGCCTACCGGCGGTTCTTCATCCGCCATCGCGTGCCCCTGGCTGCTCAACTCAGAGTGGAATCCTGCCGACTGCGCCAATTTATGTCACAGGCCGGAGGTGGGGAGAAACCACGACCCGTACCAACTACCACTCTGAGGAGCTACACCAAGAACACCACGAGGCTGGACACAAGGTACAGTAAGTAATTTGTCTTTATTAAATATTAAAACAGGTTTAAAAGGGCGTCCGCCTGGACGGCTAAACTCGTTCCACTCTTCCAGACGGCAGCGGAACTCAGGAGTTCAGGCAAAGGGGCCTTCAGGTGAATGACTCAGAATGGGTAAGTAACAGACTTCTTTTGTTTCCTTAGGATCCCGGAGGAGCTCAAGGCGGGCTACAAGCGTCTCCAGAAGAGCAACTCCATACAACGTGAGGGCTGGCGTTTCCTACTCCTTCCAGACGGCAGTGGAACTCGGGAGCTCAGGCAAGGGGACCTTCAGGTGAGTGACTCAAAATGGATAAGTAACAGACTTCTCTTATTTCCTTAGGATCACGGCGGAGCTCAAGACGGGCTACAAGGATCTCCAGGAGAACAACTCCATTCAACGTGAGGGCCGGCGTTTTCTACTCCTTCCAGACGGCAGTGGATCTCAGGAGCTCAGGCAAAGGGACCTTCAGGTGAGTGACTCAAAGTGGATAAGTAACAGACTTCTCTTGTTTCCTTAGGATCACGGTGGAGCTCAAGACGGACTACAAGGATCTCCAGGAGAACAACTCCAGACAACGTGAGGGCTAGCGTTTCCTACTCCTTCCAGACGGCAGTGGAACTCGGGAGCTCAGGCAAGGGGACCTTCAGGTGAGTGTCTGGCTTTCTTGGTTCCTGTAACACAGCAATACAGCTGAAGTACCTGCAGTAGAGTAGCTTTGGAACTCGCAAGGAACTCAGGAAGTAGCGGTCTTCGAGGTCGGTGAGTCCTGGGCAGCGTGAGTGACTGGCTTTCTCGTTTCCTTAAGATGAGAGTCAATCGGCACCTGCACACATCTATACAGCTGGACTATAAACTTCCCCACCCCACACGGGCTGGACGATCCCAGGAAAAATTGGAGCGAACGGAATGGTTAAATCTTCTTCACACTTGTGTATACAGCAATCCCTCCACAATTCACACGTGCACACTTCAACTTGTAAGCACTGCAATTCCACAAATACCTCACAGTGGGTTTAAGCCTTCACTCCATTCAACCTGGATCATCCAAACTGCTGCTCGGGTTCCAACCGAGGGGGGGAGAAAGTGCAATGATGAGGCGGCTGCACAGGGGGGTTATTCAGGAACACAAACGTGCCTTCCCATCACCAGCTTCAACCTCATGAAAATAGAACAGCGAACATGGACAGATCTTCTAATAGGTCACAAGGCCTCCATAAACTCAATCACAATGTTAGTACAGAAAGCTGGAATTGGGTACTTAACTCTTTGTAAAGGGCGATCTTCATAATGCATTCATCAAACTCAATCACAATGTTTGTACAGCAAGCTGAAATTGGGTACTTAACTCTTCATAAATGTTGGTCTGCTTTTATCCAAAGCCACTTACATTGCATTTCAAGGACATTTACATTCTTATCAGTTCTTGCTTTCCCTGGGAATCGAACCCTTGACCTAAAACTGCACATTTTACAGTGGCCTTTTGTTGTGGACAGCCTAAGGCACACCTGTGCAATAATCCTGCTGTGTAATCAGCATCTTGATACGCCACACCTGTGAGGTGGATGGATGATCTCGGCACAGGAGAAGCGCTCACTAACACAGATTTGTGAACAATATTTGAGAGAAATAGGCCTTTTGTGTACATAGAAAAGTCTTAGATCTTTGAGTTCAGCTCATGAATAATGCGGCAAAAACAAAAGTGTTGCGTTTATAATTTTGTTCAGTGGAATTGTGATGTGAACTCCGCCGTTCTCAAAGAACTACAACAATTATTTAAACTTTATAGTTATTGTCTGTGGTGTGAACGGTCCTTGAGACCTAAACATATCCAAGAGTAATAGAAGAATTACTAAATAAATGAATGTTTGTGATAAACACTTTCTGTTCCTCATCCAGCAATAAGAATAATGTTTGTATGACATCATCTCCATCAGAATGAAATGCTATTCAAAACAAGAATAATAAAAAATACACTATAAAATTAAAAAAATCAATACAGTATAAAAATACATTAATCATCTTTATATGCTTGCGTGTTCTTTAATATTCTCACGTCTATAATGCAAAGGATTTAGTTCATTTCCCAGGAATCTAATTTCGACTCAAGTACCCCGAGCATTCCTCATCCTCTTCCTCCTCTTCCTCTGAGATGTGTTTCCCAGGGGAGTTGTGTGACTGTGGATCAGTCAGTAACAGGTTCTGAGGATATAAGCCCAGCTCGTCTATAACACTGCAGGTTTCCACAGGTTCAGCAGAAACTCCTCGTATGGTCACGGAGAACAGGTTCACATCAGTCGCGCTCTCTCCGTCGTCCTCGTGTGTGTGCAGAGCGATGCTCGAGCGCTGGAGAGCACTCGTTCCCCGAGGAGAAGCTGTCGGCTCAGGGCCGTCCTCGAACACAATCAGACTCGGAGCGTCTGTGGAGGAGCTGAGGCTCGCGTGGACATCGCCACTCGACTCACAGCTAGAGGACACTGGGCAGAGGAGCAGAGAGGAACCTCGAGCGTCCAGATAGTGTGCCACGATTCTCTTGAACGTCACAGTCTCCTCCTCGTCTTCCTCCTCGCTGCTTATCTTCGTCTTCTGGACCGAGGCGGTGTCCTCGAAGAGTGTGTGGATGAGTTCAGCGGGAGTGAAGAGAAGAACTTTATTCCCACTCTCGATCGAGCTCTGGAAAACAACAGGCATTAGTTACACAGATGAGACGGAGCAGGGCCGAGGAGGATTGTGGGAAAGGTTTTGTGCACTTTAAATCCAAACAATAAATGGATTTTTTTTATGCAGTATCATGCAATAAAGACCTTTTGACTTAAAACTGGTTCAACCAGCAAGTTTTCCCATTTATTTAAAGGGTTAGACTTTATTTCGATAGTCCCATTTAGACATTCTACAAACTATAAGTAACTTTGCAACTACATGTCAACGAACTCTCATTAGCATATTAGTGGAGTACTAGTGGAGTACTAGTGGAGTACTAGTGGAGTGTTAGTGGAGTGGAGTGTTAGTGGAGTACTAGTGGAGTACTAGTGGAGTACTAGTGGAGTGTTAGTGGAGTGTTAGTGGAGTGTTAGTGGAGTGTTAGTGGAGTACTAGTGGAGTACTAGTGGAGTACTAGTGGAGTGTTAGTGGAGTACTAGTGGAGTGTTAGTGGAGTACTAGTGGAGTGTTAGTGGAGTACTAGTGGAGTGTTAGTGGAGTACTAGTGGAGTGTTAGTGGAGTACTAGTGGAATACTAGTGGAGTACTAGTGGAGTGTTAGTGGAGTACTAGTGTAGTACTAGTGGAGTACTAGTGGAGTATTAGTGGAGTACTAGTGGAGTACTAGTGGAGTGTTAGTGGAGTACTAGTGGAGTACTAGTGGAGTACTAGTGGAGTACTAGTGGAGTATTAGTGGAGTACTAGTGGAGTACTAGTGGAGTACTAGTGGAGTACTAGTGGAGTGTTAGTGGAGTGTTAGTGGAGTGTTAGTGGAGTACTAGTGGAGTACTAGTGGAGTACTAGTGGAGTACTAGTGGAGTGTTAGTGGAGTGTTAGTGGAGTGTTAGTGGAGTACTAGTAGAGTACTAGTAGAGTACTAGTGGAGTATTAGTGGAGTACTAGTGGAGTGTTAGTGGAGTGTTAGTGGAGTGTTAGTGGAGTACTAGTGGAGTATTAGTGGAGTATTCGTGGAGTATTCGTGGAGTGTTAGTGGAGTGTTAGTGGAGTGTTAGTGGAGTGTTAGTGGAGTATTAGTGGAGTACTAGTGGAGTACTAGTGGAGTACTAGTGGAGTGTTAGTGGAGTACTAGTGGAGTATTAGTAGAGTATTAGTAGAGTATTAGTGGAGTGTTAGTGGAGTGTTAGTGGAGTGTTAGTGGAGTGTTAGTGGAGTATTAGTGGAGTACTAGTGGAGTACTAGTGGAGTACTAGTGGAGTGTTAGTGGAGTACTAGTGGAGTATTAGTAGAGTATTAGTAGAGTATTAGTGGAGTACTAGTGGAGTGTTAGTGGAGTGTTAGTGGAGTATTAGTGGAGTACTAGTGGAGTATTAGTGGAGTATTAGTGGAGTACTAGTGGAGTATTAGTGGAGTACTAGTGGAGTACTAGTGGAGTGTTAGTGGAGTGTTAGTGGAGTACTAGTGGAGTACTAGTGTTAGTGGAGTACTAGTGGAGTACTAGTGGAGTACTAGTGGAGTATTAGTGGAGTATTAGTGGAGTACTAGTGGAGTACTAGTGGAGTGTTAGTGGAGTACTAGTGGAGTACTAGTGGAGTACTAGTGGAGTGTTAGTGGAGTACTAGTGGAGTACTAGTGGAGTGTTAGTGGAGTACTAGTGGAGTACTAGTGGAGTACTAGTGGAGTACTAGTGGAGTACTAGTGGAGTACTAGTGGAGTGTTAGTGGAGTACTAGTGGAGTGTTAGTGGAGTACTAGTGGAGTACTAGTGGAGTATTAGTGGAGTATTAGTGGAGTACTAGTGGAGTGTTAGTGGAGTGTTAGTGGAGTGTTAGTGGAGTGGAGTGTTAGTGGAGTACTAGTGGAGTACTAGTGGAGTACTAGTGGAGTATTAGTGGAGTACTAGTGGAGTGTTAGTGGAGTGTTAGTGGAGTGTTAGTGGAGTACTAGTGTAGTACTAGTGGAGTATTAGTGGAGTGTTAGTGTAGTACTTGTGGAGTACTAGTGGAGTACTAGTGGAGTACTAGTGGAGTACTAGTGGAGTACTAGTGGAGTGTTAGTGGAGTGTTAGTGGAGTACTAGTGGAGTGTTAGTGGAGTGTTAGTGGAGTGTTAGTGGAGTACTAGTGGAGTATTAGTGGAGCATTAGTGGAGCACTAGTGGAGTGTTAGTGGAGTGTTAGTGGAGTGGAGTGTTAGTGGAGTACTAGTGGAGTACTAGTGGAGTACTAGTGGAGTACTAGTGGAGTGTTAGTGGAGTGTTAGTGGAGTGTTAGTGGAGTGTTAGTGGAGTGTTAGTGGAGTACTAGTGGAGTACTAGTGGAGTGTTAGTGGAGTGTTAGTGGAGTACTAGTGGAGTACTAGTGGAGTACTAGTGGAGTACTAGTGGAGTACTAGTGGAGTGTTAGTGGAGTATTAGTGGAGTGTTAGTGGAGTGTTAGTGGAGTGTTAGTGGAGTGTTAGTGGAGTGTTAGTGGAGTGTTAGTGGAGTACTAGTGGAGTACTAGTGGAGTATTAGTGGAGTGGAGTGTAAGTGGAGTACTAGTGGAGTACTAGTGGAGTACTAGTGGAGTATTAGTGGAGTGTTAGTGGAGTGTTAGTGGAGTGTTAGTGGAGTGTTAGTGGAATACTAGTGGAATACTAGTGGAGTATTAGTGGAGTATTAGTAGAGTATTAGTGGAGTACTAGTGGAGTACTAGTGGAGTACTAGTGGAGTATTAGAAGACTGTCTGCTTAATGCCTGCTATCTCTATATTGTTATGTAATACTGATGACCAGGGCCTAAAATTAACATATCAAAATAATGTTTGAAACCGTGTCTAACGCCAGTTGGCCGAAACATTTTTATGAATTCTAACAATGCAACGCTGTGAGAACAAACATGAACGACGCTCGGCACAGTCGACGGGCCAGTGCAAACCCTTGCCAATTTAAATATTCAAGCGCAAGAAGATGCTAAAGGGAACTCGATGCATTTGGAGAAAGCCACGTCACACAGCGTGCGAGTACTAAACTGAACTCTCTCACTTCTTCTTGCGCTTGAACGAGCGAGTTAGATCTGCCTGAAAAACACCGTTTATTTCATTTGTATCTTAGTCCTATTTCATTTATTTTTGCTAGTGCTTGTACTTTGATCGATTACTGACTGTTTACTTGTCTTTATTAATGTTTTAAGTGTAAATAAGTTAGGCTAGTAGGTTTAGCTGTGTTTACAGTAGTTTGTAACTTGTTTGATGGCCGGTAAAGTTTCTTAAGTCAGCGGCCAATGGCAGGTGTGGCAAAAAGTTAGTTTAGGCCCTGCTACTAACTAGCTAACAGAACCCTAACAGTCTACTAATACTCGAGTAACTCGAAGTAAGTGTGATAAAATAACCGTTTCTATTTTCTGTAGTTGTTTGTGTTTTGACGATGCATGTATCTGGTTATGTGCTGTTTCTGTGGTCACTGTTCTCTTATATTGGTTTGTTATGTCAAAGAATAAAACAAATAAGCGTTTAAAGAAGTCATATGATGCTTTTTAATATTTTCCTTTTCCTTTAGTGTGTGATGTGCATGTATATGATCTGCAAAGTTACGAAAAGGGATTTATTCT